TTGAACATAAGAATTTGTGCAAGAGTTAGTTGAGATTAACTCTATTCATCATCTTGTAGAAAATCTGCCCAGTGGGCAAGTACTCTGCTTTCTACATTATATGCATTTGATTCATTTTCACTTCTTGTAATAACAACCTTCTCGGATACTGCAAATGTCGCAGCAGTAAGTGGTTCAGCCTCATAACAAAATGATGGCTTGAAGACAAAGGGATACTCTTGGATTGCTGCCAATACACCAAGGGTAGAGGGACCAATCTTGAATTGGTCTACTGCTGTTTTTGTTCTCCCAAATAGGTACCATTTGTTAATGTCCCAAATAACGTTTTCCTTGTCATCTTCACTTTGAATGTGCTTCCATGTACCTGCAAGTTCTAGTAGTTTTTTTAGCGTTTCACATATAATACTGTTTGCCTCTTCAACATTAACATTCCTCAGTTTTTGCAAATCTTCTTTCACTGCAGAATCAACAGGAAGATCTTCTGTTGTCGGTTTTACTGTCTCAGTTCTATGTACTATTACATTGAAAAAAAATGGTCTGCAAAATAGTGGGGTACAGGACCTCCATGAACCAATGACATAACAATTATAAATAATATTCATTTTCATAAACAGATTTACTAATGCATGTAAGAAATAAACTTCATAGTTGAAGTACCATCTAACAGATGGGATCCTACAATATGGTTCATAGTCAAAGTCAACATTTCCCGCATTGGGCCACCTTCATCAACAGCACCTTCTGAAGAGCCCTCATCATCAGTGAATTTAACAGAAATTTTGTTAAACGGGCTGAAGGATTTGTGCTTGAGTCCTCCTTTGACACAAACAAAATACCTAGTTTCTTCAACCGATAACCGATAACTTTTGAGTATCTTCTGTGTCAGATATGTGACAAACTTCTTAATCTCTGAATAAAGAAGCATACACATCATCAGCACCATTTTTATCGTATGCACCTGATGGACCAGGCATATTAGTGCATGCAGAAACGGAACATGTTGATGTTCCCTGTCTTTCTGTTCTTGTAGTTGATTCTTTTCTTCTAAGCTTTCTAGATTGCGTATAATCATCTATTATATCTTCCACAATGGTTCCTGTATTTTCATCAAATTCCTGTGTTATTAGTCGAGCATCATCTGGTCTACTGTCATTCTCTTTCCCAGAAACCTCATATACTCCTTCAGAGATGTTATAGTCTTTCTCTGTGCAGAGATACATGCAAATCCTCTGGTAATCCTTCCCAAGTTCTTCTCTATATCGGCACAGCGAAAAGAATTCCTTGCTTTGCTGACCAGGTATAAAGGTTGCCTGTGTACCATCTTCTAACAATAGTAAATATGTCTTATCTTCCTGCATGTCTCTTCTTCTGAAAGCTTTCCATTCGTTCAATCCATGTTCAAAAATTGAATAATAATTAGCATCTCTCTCTATTTTAATTGGTAGGCACTTACCTCACCTAGGCTTCAACTCACACTTTTTTTCATCGAAATACATGATGCCAACATTTATACTGACTATCTCTTCTTCATCACATATTTTCCTTTTCTTCCTTTTGGATGATATTTTCTGAAAAGCTGTTGATGTTTTTTCTCGTTTGAATGTCTCAAAAGACTTGATTTTTCCAAACTGTGGCTTTTCATTTAATTTATGATCTGAAATGATATTAGAAATAAGTGAAATAATGAGATATAATAGTTTTAATTATATATGCAAACGTTTATGTCGCTTGTTAATGGTTTAATTAGTATGAAAACTGTGTAGTTTAATTAATATTTGTGACTAGTACTGAGATTTTAGAGATATCACAGAAACATGCTCAGTTATGCCTACAGCTTATATGCACAAACACAGGCAGCACTATAGCTGAAGTTAAACACACATTATTGATGTATAAATATGAGGTAATGCATATAAACACAAATACTAGAGTAAATAAAAAAATTATCTTGACAAGCAAAACACAACGAGGTGATGCACGTGTGGTGAATGTATTGGAGGCATATAGTACAAATAAGGACTACTGTACTTACTATATTACAAACACATCTTCAATACTCATAATGCAGAAATTGTGTTTATTGCATGCAAGATCATTGAAATGTCTTATTTTTTACATAGACATGTATTTTCATTGCTATTTACAGTAAGTACATGTGCTTCTAATAGAGCAAATATGGCATTTAAAAATATAACTGCAAGCAATGATCGGGGTGGTTCCAAGTAGCTATGGTATAACAATTTAATGAACAATATTTAATGAAATAGTGACCATATATGATGACTTGATATTTTGTTCATATATCTTGTCAGACAACAAAATTATAGCATCAATTGCTTGTCCCTGTCTGCACATTACTTAACATATTACAAGTTATGCATATTATTATCCCAGAGCATATATGTACCAAGTTTCATTGAAATCTGGTAAGTATTTGAGATATTGGTGGAAATGCCAAATATTGGCAAACTAATATGTAAATTAGGTCATTATTATGCACGGATTTCACCCAAAAACTATTTAGGTCTGAGTATTATTTCAGAGCACATATGTACAAAGTTTTATTAAAACTCGATAATTAGTTCTTGAGATATCTGTGGAACAGACAGACATACATATACCATGGAGGTAATTCTTATTACCTCCATGCATATACACAGACACCATTGTTGTAGAAAATTAAATAATTATTAACGTATACAATAATTATTAATATCTGGATGTTGCAAAGACACAAACATGAAAAACATTGTCAAAAAATGAAATGAATATCCTTTTTTGGTCATTGAAAATAGAATATTTTGTTATATAACCAGTATAATCTACTTTATAAATTGTATAAAGTATTCAAAAATGAGTATTTAGTATAAAAATGTGGATTTTTGTTTATAACATTCCAATTCACTGAGTGGTTCTAAAATATTACTTACTTGTCAACTCATTGAAAATATGAAATATCGGGTCACGTTTTTTTAATAGGCCCAAATATTAAAAACTCACCATTTAAGCAGTAAAAAGTGTTTCCTTAGTTTTCACGAGTTCAAAATAAAAACAAACAAAAATTCGACCGACCGATCTAATGTTTCAATTTTCTGACTTATGCTGACTCATTGAAAGTAATTAGTCTATGTTTGCTGAACAGTATGCAGAGAAAAGTTGTTGAATAACTTGAACAATGCAATGACATCAACAAAATAATGAAGGTTTAGGTTTGTGAATAATACTGGCCCATCAATTCACTCGTATCAACAAACAACCATGTTAACAAGTTATATCAGGCATAACCTCATAATATATATTTGAATATAACAATTGTAATAGTTTGTTCGACCCGACCTATTGTGATTTTGATCCACATCAAAAGATACAACAACATAATAATACCCCCCTTCCCTCGGAGCTATACTCGCTTACAGTAGGCTAGTAACCATCCCATTGTTTATGTTTTAACGCTAACATCAGACTTTTATTATCTCTTGTTTCGCGAACCCGCCGAATGAAAAGGTGCTGAAAATGAAATACAAATACAATTTTATTTCAGCGTAATTTCTCGCGCCCACCGACTTGTGAGTGCAAAAAATTGCTAAAAAAATATGTTTATCTTCATTTTTTCCGCCCGCCACCTAACAAATCCAAGTTGCATTTTCATGGGAGTATCTTGATCAAAGTCTCGCGCAGATCTATACTTTGTGCGAGTTGATTGACAGTGAATCTCGGGTATTGACCTCTCTGCGTGCTGCTTGAGACTACTAAACGAATATGGCGACAGTTTGGTTTGTGGTGACACGCCGTGAAACTCTGTCGTCAAAAACCGAGAAATCTCTCATTAATGCTGAAAATTGTGCCCCAATTGTCGTTATACATGGAATACAAATTTATTTTATTTCTTCTTTCCGATCAATGATCTTCTTCGAATTCTTTGAGAATCACACAAATCTAATGGAAAAAAAAAGAATTAATTTTATTTTTTTCCCGTCCCCCTCAAAAAATTCGGTACAGAGGTTCGGTAACTGTGTGACATGCGGACGACAAAGTACCTATATTCATGATCGTAGCGTCCTGTCACAGGCGCTCGGTTCGTTTCTTGGATAATAAATAAAAAGTCGGTCAGTATACTAAGTCAGTCGCCGGTACACTCGCCGACACACTCGAAAGTACCGGCGACTGACTAAATGTGTCGACCCTTCTAATTATTAAAGTAACGGCCCGAGCGCCTAAGTTTCCTGTGGGGCAAGCTATCGCCAACAAATTACTCGAATCCCCTGGTAGCCCGTATATATTTTAAAACCAGCATGCATAGAATTTGGAAACATAGTGTACTTACCGGCATATTTTCAGCGTACACTACAAATAGTGGGCACGTTTCATCCCATCCAGTTTGATGCCACGGAAACATCCGCGGTCGTCACTTGCAGTTGTTTTTGGCCTGTGTCGTAAAACAGAGGCACGGGGAAATTGCGCCTGTAGAGTGTTTAAGAGCAAGGTTTTATTGTGCTCTAGAGGCAATTCCATCGGTTCGCCGTTTTCTTTATCAGCAACTTTCAAATACATTGACATTTTGGCCATGTAGATACAATTACTTGCAGTCGATACAAAAATGGCGGTCAATTTGCCCGGGGAATTCTGGGACATATTGCCAACTTCCGTTTTCATAAACAAAGTGAAATGGAAGTTGTGTTTTAGAAAATTAAAGTTGTGGTCTAAGAAAGGAGATTTGTGTTGTAAAAAATTAAGTTTCTTTTGCGAGAATTTAAAGCATTGATGTGTAAATTAGCTTGTCGTGTTTTCAATGATTTTTTTTTTGCTTTGTAAATTAAAGTGTTGTTTTGTGAAATAAAATTGTGCTGCAAAAACAAAAAGTTAGATTTGTGTTGTAAAAGATTAGGCTATTATTGCGGGAATTTTAAATTTTGTTTTGTAAATCCAAGTTTTGTGTTGTGAAAATAGAGTTGTGTTACGATAAATTGGATTTGGTGTTGTAAACAATTAAGTTTTCATCTCAAGTATTTGAAGCATTGTTTTGTAAAATAATGTTGTTCATGGGAGAAAATAATGTTGGTGTTACTGGAAGTGGAGTTTTGCTTGTGAATTAAATTTGTGTTTCGAGAAATGTAGTTTGTGTTGCGGGAAATAAAACATAATGTGACATCTGTGGGCCACCGTAGTAAATAACCCAATACACAGATCATAAATGACCATACTAAGATTAAGCGCACGTGTTTTACAAAATTGAAATGGGCAAATATCATAAATTTAACATTACTGAAAGAAGCTGTCCTGTATGCGATACTAATGGTATTGAAGATGAAGAGCACTTTCTGTTAAAATGTCAGTTATACAGACGTGAAAGACAGATCTTTCTCAACACAATTAGACCGAGGGCAGCACTGATACAAACTTTAACAACATACTAGGCACAAATAATACTGTCATGCTAACATGGTCT